TACCCATTGGATGGATTGGTGAAAGTTGACAATGGAAGTAACTCATCCAAACCCCATTTAGTTTTCATGTAGTGAAACCGCCTCACTTTCCCACCCCCATCTATGCACATCCATCAACATGAAAGTAATTAAATGTAATGTAATTAATCATACAAATGGATGAGATGGCTGTTTAAAACTTGTGATATATATCCTCCAAAAATTTGCTTGTATTTTTATGAATATAACGAGTATAATTAACACCATACGAATATGATACATAGTAATATAATACACTATCTTCGTATAATCCTATACTCCCTCAGTCCCTATTAGTTAGTCATTGACTTCTGCAAGATCCTAAATTTTGATCGATAATATATTTATATAGTAGTATGAAATTATTTATAATTTGAAAATGTTCTTTAATTATTTATTAACCACTTAAAATTTAAAAGTTGGAAATAGGTGGATGAATGTTTTAAACTCCTTTTCACTTTTCTATACACGTACAAATACACTTTAATTTTGATCAAATATTACAAACCTTTACTTTTCAAAAGTTCAAACACTAACATAGTTAGTTAAATACGGTACGGGAATTAAACGGGGTTTTATACGTACGTGTTTTATTCGGTAAAAGAATGAAAAAGACGGTCAAAAATTCGTTGAAAAATACGTTGACTTTTAAAAAACGTGTGAATACGCATACATGTATAATACGGTATATGTTACAAAAATTCGAACAAAAAATACGGGGTATTATTGTGAACATTTAAAATATATACTTCACAAAATAAGATATATAGTAAAAACAAATAAAAATATACACATATTCAAGTAGCAAATCTCATTACCACATAAAAGAATAATTTGTTATTTCATAAGTCGATGAAAAAAATAAAAATAGTATTTAACTCCAAGACATAATTTTGCTAAATAAAGTCAAAAAGTGAGGAATATTAACAATAGAATGAGACTAAGTTAAAATCGATGTCTTTATATGATCATCAAATAACACTTAAGTCATGCCCAAACTCATCTTTTTCATCAAGATGATGAATGACATATGAGAAAAGTACATTGAGCGACTGTTACGCTTGTTATTATTGTTTATGTGTAAAGTTTATACTAAAAATATGTCAAGTTTAGAAAAACTTGAATTTTGATATGATTGATTGAAAAACATCATAAATCCAATAGTATTTGAAGTTTTGGTCTTTTAGGAAGCTAGCTTTAACCGTCATGCAAATAATCTTAGTGGTCAATAATTGCATTGTAACAATACAAAAACTGGGGTCAGGAGGAGCCTTTTGCTTTTAAGCTATTGGTGATCTCTTATGCATTTAATGCACTAATTCAATTAATCAATTCATGTTTCTATTTTTTGTAAAATACGGAAAAAATACGTTTTATACGGGAAGTAGAAGTTTTTTTCCTTTTTAAATGGACCGACATTATTTTTCATTTTACACGCGTTTTTTTGTTAAAAAAACGGTACGTGTTTTAAACGGAAAAAAGCTTAGTAGGAACACTACTCATTTTTATTTTTTCAAATGGTTAAACGTTGTCAACTTTTACTATTAAATACGTTTCTCCATAGACATTTTAAAAAATCACATTTTTAAGGCATAGAAACATCAAACACAAACATCTCTGCACATATACCTTGGATTGTCAAATAATTGTCATTGATTTGATCGTAAACGAAGAAATTAAACTTTGCATGAACCTCCCATCCCCGTGGAAGACTTTCAGTTTCAACTATTTGTAAGTAGAGGGAGATACGACCGTCATCATCTTCACCATCTGCTTTCTTACCCCCCTTGTCATAATGAACACATAACTTCCTGCGGGCGTTATAAGTTATTTAATTATCAAAGAATAAAAGCACCTAAAATCTTGAATTAGAAGTTATGATAGAATAAAAGTAGTAGTAATCTTTATTTAGAAGTTATGAAAGAATATATTGATTCCAAATTTTATTTAGAAGTTATTGAATCATATAGTACCATTTTTTATCACAAGCTTGAAAAACTCCAGATTCGAGTTTTTGAATTCCAGATTGTGAGAGTTGAGAAAAGGAACGTATCATAAAAATGAAGTGAGATGGGGGAGTATCCCTCTTCCACTTCTCAACTGCTGTGGTTGAACCCATGTATTCCTTACGCAAATAAACTTTTTCAGCGGATGGTTTTTCTTCAACTACTTCTGTGTTGGTTATCTGTATTCTCTTCTCTTTAGATGGTAGGCAACAAAACATATTGTGGTTTATTGATTGAATAAGTCTTAGCCTTTATACGCATGGATGGGTATTGGGGAGGGAATACTTTACCGATAGGCAATTATGAGTTTCAATTCTGAGGGTCTAGTTTGGGAAAGGGATTACTTCTTCAAGAGGCACTAATCTAAGCACATGAATAAGTTCTTGCTTCTCCAGGCCTGCCTTAGGGGTGCAACAAGGGCGTCCTAGCTAGACTCCTAGACATATAAAAGTAGAAACAAATAAGGTTCAATAGCTTTTTTAGTTAGGGAGATTTACCCGTATATTACCAAAAGTAGGAAGAATTCCTATTATATGACATGACTTCTTTTTGTCCCTTCGTATGACTAAAATGCCGGGGGAAACGGCCAGGCATAAGCAGTGTAAGTAAAGTACTAAAATACCCCCAAATAAGCAAACACATTACACACGTATTGAAAAAAATAGAAATTGAATGGAAAAGTTCAATTACAAATCATCCGGCAATGCATTGAGAAAATTTCGTGGAGAAAATTTCGGCGGACATGATATATTGCATTTTACACATATAATTGCGGAGGTAGGGTACAATCTGCCTAGGTGGACAGGTAAAGGAAACTGAATTAAACGGACAACCGTTGTCCTAATCCGAACGCGGAAGACTTCACCGGTCAGAAGGATACAAAGACCGCGGCAATGCATCGTTTCTCCGGTCAGACTGCTGCACAGTTGTCCTTTCGTTCTGCGTTTGGAGAACCTCTGCCATACCGGTGTAGTCTTCCTTTCTAATTGAGTTCGTCTGTTGGAATGCAGCCTAAACACAATCTTCCTTTCCTTAGTTTAATTTTGTTTCCTGCATTTAGTTCATCGTCAAACAGATGTTTATCATAGGGATTAAAGTGCAAATGGATCTATCCTTAAAATAAATAGAAAAAATTACCGAGTAAGGTTATGTCTAAAAATTCCACATGTATCATTCTTATTTGTCCATCTAAGCAGAGGTACCGTACCTTCTTAATTTAAAGGGGTACGGTAGAAGGACCCTTTAAAAATACCTTTATTTTTTTGATCGTTTTTATAATACTTTTATTTAAAAAATGTGAATTTTACATTATTTTGTCCAATTAAAAATACTGCACTTAATACTGCAGTTACTGCTCGACATTACTGCATGACATTACTTCACTTTTGGTAACATATCACTGCACTTCCCCCAACATTTGTTCTCTTCTCATTAACTTTAGGAATTTATTTATAGTTCATTTTTTTTTTAATTTTTTTAGATTTAATAATTTCAATATTTTATGTCTAATTAATTATATTGCATTTCATGCGGGTGATACTGCTCTACATTACTGCACTACTAGTCAAAGTCAATGCACTTTCCGCCAATGTTATGACACGATCCATTGCATCTGATTCACTGCAAAACATACTTCGTCAATACATTCCTTCATTTTCACTTCTCATACTCAACCATAGTTATTGCTATGTTCGTTGGTCATGCTCACTGCCTATGTTTATTGTCCATGTTTAATGCCCTCAAATCGCAATTTCAATAAAACCTAATTTCAAAAATAGAAAAGAAGAAGATGAATGAGAATGGAGAAGATGGCTGGGCGGCGGCAACATTGGGACGGAGGTGTGCGGTTAGGAGACGGTTCGTAAATTGCAAGTGATAACCACTGCACGGAGAGCATTAATGCGCACCGGACATCTCCGGGCGGGTAACCTATGGCGACGGAATTCATCGGTGAAAAAGGATGTGTTCTAGTCCGTGAAAAAGAACAAGATAAAGATACGGACGCCAAATTAATGGAGAGTTTTACCTTGTATTCATTAATTCCTAATTTTTAGGAGATTTTAATAATTAGTTATTGCTAAAAACAGCAGGTCGCAAGCTGTGTCGTAGTTATTGCGCCAAATAGTTATGATGTTGAAGTCATTCGAGTGTATTACACCAATCGTTTAACCAGGCTGTTTATTTTGGGATGAAATAGCATATCATTAATTAAATAGAAACAGGGATAGGGATAGGGAGAAGAAATTTTACGTACCGAATTTTCAAAACTATATATACCGAATTTTACCGAATCGAATACCGAATTTTCAAAATTATACGTGCTGATTACCGGATCGAAATTTCGGTTCAATATTTGGTACATACCGAAATTTCGGTATCGGTTTGATTCGATCAATTTACCGAATTGTGCAGACCCCTAGGGGTGGGGCATGGGTGTTTGGAATAGGGAGAGGAGTGAGGACAAATTCAAAAGTTTTTTAATGTAATGGGGTGCAAAGTTAAAATTGTTTAAATATGAAATCCAATACTCGTATAACTCAAAAAATATGAGTTTTTGCCACTTTTGGTCCCACGACTATTATGTGAATGACACTTTTGGTACTCAGCTTCGAATTTTTCCATTTTTAGTCCTCGACTATTGTGCTAGAGACACTTTTAGTCCCCGAGTATAAAGTTTTACACATTTAGCCCCTGAGTATTGTATAATTGACACTTTTAGTCCTCCCATTGTGATTTTGACACAATAAGTGAAGGACTAAAAATGACACTATTTGTAATAGTTGAAGGACCAAAAGTGTCACTTTTATGAAAGTTGAAGGACTAAATATGGAAATTTTCAAAGACGAGTACCAAAAGTGTCTCTAACGCAATAATCAAGGACTAAAAATGGAAAAAATCAAAGTCGGATACCAAAACTGTCAATGACATAATAGTCAGAGGACTAAAAGTGGAAAAAACTCCAAAAAAAAATATAGTCCAAAATCAAAATCTCCGAAAAGCAAAGGAGAAGTTGGGACTTGGGAGGGAGGCGCTATCTATTAAGCCAAAATTAATCTTTGCCGGTGAATCGGCGGTGGTCACGAGAATTGGTGGCGGATGGATTTTCATTAATGGGTTCTCATTAAATGAAATAATACTTGGATCAGATCAACCACTCTTCCTCCATCCTATTTACGTAGTATTTATTTACAAGAGACAACGAAGCAGAAGCATTACAGCTGGTGACGTTTTTTGCGACGGCCATGGCAGAGAGTAAAAGAACCGTTCTTGTTACCGGAGCCGGTGGAAGAACCGGTAAGTTTTTTACTTTCTATGTGTACTGACTACTGAGTACTGATAAAGGGTTCCATTGATTTTATCATTCACTATTTTTTGCTGGAGAAATTTTGCAATTAATTACGCGAATCCTAGGAAACTCAAAATTATATCCTTTTCTGAGTATTTCATAGACACAGACGCTGGGTTTCATTCTATAGACCTCATGGAAAGAATCTTTATATCCTGTTAGCTCTTGATGGTGCGGGATGAATTGACACTTCAAATATTTTGTAGGCAATTTATATACTTCGTGTGATCTAAAACGCCTAGCATTGAGAAAATGTATTCGGGTCATTTCTTATGATCTTCTGATCATAGTACATGCCTTGGAGTTTTTGTAGTCAAAGGCCTTTGACTTGAGATCTCACATTCTTGTTTGTTGAATTGTCTCATGCTTAAGGATTCTTTCATTCCAAACATACCAGAGGAAATATTAACTCTGGCTGAGATTGACTTGGATTAGTATAATCTTCCTTTCAAAAGAAAGGATTCTTGCATTCATATATAGTTAGAGTAAGATACTCTCCAAACAGTTCTGATCTTGTAGAAACTCAATAAGTGGACATAAGGTAGATATTGCTTAATGCTCGCTTGGTCTTGTTTTATTTCGTATCATGAGGTTTATTTTAAGTTAAATGTAAATCCCTTTTACTAATATTTCAGTTAGTATTACTCCCTAATAATTAAGATTTCCAAATGAATACTAAAAGTTCTATTGAAAATGCCAAAGCTAAATACAAACATATGAAAATTGTCATATATGTTGTACAAAATAAAAAAAATAAAGGGAATTAGGATGACAAAAAGAATGAGACCGATGGACTGATGGAGTAATACAATAACACATTGAAAATGCATGCAATGAATTATAACTGTATAAGTATGTTTTTCTGATTTGGTTTTTGTGTTGGTGGGCAGGACAAATTGTGTATAAGAAGCTGAGGGAGAGTTCAGAGGAGTATATAGCAAGAGGGTTGGTGAGAAATGAGGAGAGCAAGGGAAGTATTGGGGGTGGGGATGATGTTTACATTGGTGATATAAGGAACCCCGAGAGTCTAGTTGCTGCTATTCAGGGTGTAGATGCTCTTATCATTCTTACAAGTGCTGTCCCAAAGATGAAACCGGGTTTTGATATTACTAAAGGCGAAAAGCCGGAGTTCTACTTTGAAGTGGGGTCATATCCCGAACAAGTGAGCTTTCTTTATAGTTTTTACTATGGGCTTTCGCTTATCTTTCCCGCGCGCCCTTTGCTGATGATTGATAAATGATGTAGGTGGATTGGATTGGGCAGAAGAATCAAATAGATGCAGGTGATTTAGGGTCGATGATGATTTTTCACTTCGTTTCTCTTTTACCTTTATTTAAACAAATTTAAAGGCCAAATTCTGAGTAGTGATCAATTTATCACAGCTAAGGCTGCTGGAGTGAAGCATGTTGTGCTCGTTGGGTCAATGGGAGGAACCAATCCTAACCACCCATTGAACAGCTTAGGGAATGGGAACATATTGGTGAGATCTTATGCTTAAACAATTAAGATTTCCGATGCCACTAGCTTTCGAAATGAATAATATTTGTACTTCAACAATGCAATTTATTTTTCTATGATAATATGCATAAACTATGTTACGGGTAGAGTGAGGGTTAGAGAAGGGTTCAGTGTTATCTCATATTTACTCTTAAATGGATTTCATCCTAACTTGGTAATTTTGAAATAGCTTTACCATCTTGCAAAATTTTCTCGAACCATATCTCCATGCTGATCTGTTTGTTGCAACTATTTGGATCATATGACCATCACAGGTATGGAAGAGGAAGTCTGAACAATATTTAGCCGACTCTGGAATCCCATATACCATTATTAGGTATTGATTTTAGTTTATATTGAGTCATCCAACATTTGCCAAAAGAAAGTGCAACAAATGGGACTACTTATGTTTTATTCTAAAAATAAGACTTAATTGATCCTCTTAAAAGTAAAAACTTCCCCAACGAGTAATGAGTGAATCCTATTTTAGGAAGAAAACAATTATGGTCCTATTTATGCACTTTGTTTAGTTTTAATCCTATTTAAGGAATTTTATCTTTTTCTTTTTAACTTAGAAGGCAAACCTGTGAAAGAGATGAGGGTCAAACACACCTTGTCAACATTTGGCTAAAACAACCAACATATAAAACAACCAATATATAAGAATGATTTTTTAGGATGGAACAACCACAATACTTAATAGTCTGCAAACTCTCAAACTTTTGCTTCTGCTTAGAGCTGGGGGCTTGCAAGACAGAGAAGGAGGTGTGCGGGAGCTGCTTGTTGGCAAGGATGATGAGCTTCTTCAGACAGATAACCGAACTGTTACTAGGGCCGATGTTGCTGAAGTCTGCATTCAGGTATTATCCAATTCGTTGTTGTTAGTTATTTCCGTTCGTTATGTGGTTATTTACTACCAAACCTGTTTGTTGACGTCGACAGGTGCTGCAGTTTGAGGAACTGAAATTCAAGGCATTTGATTTGGGGTCTAAACCCGAGGGCAAGGGAACACCAACAAAGGATTTCAAGGCCCTTTTTGCACAAATCAATGCCCGTTTCTGATTTTCTGTCAATTTATCCACAAATGGCATGTTAGAAATGTACTGAACTCAATTTGAAAAGGATAGCACTGGGACTGTTGTGCTGAACAATTCTCAATACCATCAAACAATTGTCATCATTATCATTATAATAATATACATGTGTTCGTTTTACCGGTAACGTTACTGGTTTTTGAGTCATTTTCATGCATATGAGTTAAGTTGGGATTTGTTCAAAGGTAGATTTCTTTCTTTGCCGGAAATCGGTCGTTGACTCGTTGAGAAAGGAGTTCTGGCCTCCAACTCTCCACCATGTAAGATTTGATGCATCATGTTTATAAATATGAATGTCTTCTAAGAAATGTCACTAGTTTAAGTTTTCATGAAGAATCTGCAATGGGATATAAATAAAACACAGCCATTTGGGATGTGGTCTCTTGTTAATGGTAACTTAATATTAGGGATCGATATTGTTGGCTCAAGGATTAGTCACTTAATTGCAGTTTAAGGGATATTTGCAACCGCTTAAATGAGTACTTTCCCAGCCTTTTGTATTGCAACACTCCCGGTAACTACAAACTCCAATGCTAATGAAGACTAGGGATGAACTCGGGCCGAGGAGGCCCGGCCCGGTTACTGTTTGAACCGGCCCGGCCCGGGAACCGGTCTGGGGGGCGGTTCAGGTCGGCCCGGCCCGGTTACTGTGCGGTTCGGGCCCGGGCCCTTTGATTGGCGAACCGGCCAAGCCGGTTCGGGCCAAATTAATTTTTTTTGAATTTTTTTTGAATTTTTTTTAAGTTTTTGGGTTGGGCTTGGTATTTTGGGCCATTTGAGGTGGTTTGGGGTGGTTTGGGGGTGAGGGGGGAGGGTTGGGGGTTAATTAGGAAAAGCCAAAAAAAAAAATAGAACCGAGGCCCGGCCCGGACCCGGGATTACCCGGGCCGGTTCCGGGCCTCCCATTTCTGAACCGAGGCCTGGCCGGGCCCAGGCCCGAACCGCGCCCGAACCGGAACCGGTCCACCCATAATGAAGACATGAAGTAGATGAGATAAAAGTCACAACATGATTGTTGTGATGAGTGTGATATGATGAAGATTGTTGAGTGTGTATTTTCAGCTAAGGTCTCCAACCTAACAACTCACACACACCACCCAGGACTATTTAGCCACTCCACCAACTCACCAAAGGAAACTCAGGGAGGAAGAAGGCTTTTGGTTTTGTGCTCAGTGTTTCACGCCACACACTCACATTCACTCACGCACCGCCCTCAGTCTCATACAAGGAGGCCACAATTATAAGGAAACAAAAAGATGTCTTCGCAATCAAAACAACTCATTGGTAGCTTAAGACAAAAACAAAGACAGAGGACCAAGGGGTCAAGTTGACAGAATTGCAAAGCAACAAATAGACAAGGTAGCTAAGGAGCAGAAACAAAAGATAATGGCTTCGTTTAGTATATGGCGATTGCATCAAACCGCAGACTTTTTTGAACTAGGAAACGCTACATTTTGTAGCGTTTTGATATCAACCCGCCGAAAAACAAACGGCCTCAATAGGAGTAGGGCAAACTCAGGGTGTGGACCTTAACATAATAAGTGGACGGAAGGCCTTGGTAGGACCAATACTTCCAACAAAGATGGAAGCTAATGAAGAAAGAACATGAATAAGATGAAAATTGTGAGGATGAAGCGATTGAATATGAAAGAATAAAAAGAGGAAAAGCTAGATAGAGCAGTATAACAAATGATAAATTATGAATGATTATACAGAGTGTACACCAAATATTTTTGTTAATCTAATGTGTAGTACATAATTTTAAATATAGGAAGTGATGGAGTATATGGCCCGGGAACCCCCGGCCCACAGACTCCTACTAATCTATCACAAGCCCAACAAGCCCAAGGAGCTCAGGAGGCCCAAGATTCGGCGGCCCAAGCGTCAAGAAGCCCACAGTACACACAGGGATGCCTTCGGCCTCCTTGGCCGAAGGCTCCAAAACTCACAGAACCGCCATATTCGACCATGCGAAGCTACTGGGAGAAAACGACAGAAAACAGGAGCCTTCGGCACTGTGGAGCCCTCGGCACCAGGGGAAGCCCTCGGCTGAACCAAGCCTTCGGCTACATAGGGAGCCTTCGGCCATACATGGAGCCTTCGGCCACATATGGAGCCTTCGGCCACACATGGAGCCTTCGGCCATACATCAAGCCTTCGGCCATACATCAAGCCTTCGGCCATACATGAAGCCTTCGGCCATACATGAAGCCTTCGTCCATACATGAAGCCTTCGGCCATACATGAAGCCTTCAGCCATACATGAAGCCCTCGGTCATACATGAAGCCTTCGACTATACATGAAGCCTTCGGCCATACATGAAGCCTTCGGCCATACATGAAGCCGTCGGCCATACATGAAGCCCTCGGCCATACATGAAGCCCTCGGCCATACATGAAGCCCTCGGCCATACATGAAGCCTTCGGCCACACAGTGCCTTCGTCCACACAAAGCCCTCGGCTACGCGAGGAGCCTTCGGCTAAACGGACTCAATCATCGAAGATTCCCTTTGGAGACAGCCAACCACCGCATTTAATGCGACGTCACATCCACCCACCGCATTTAATGTGGGGAACGTGCGATGGTCGGTGCCACCCCGATTGATGTGACCCCTCAGCCGTTGGATTACTGACACGCGTACTCTCATCACATTTATTGCTGCTATAAATAGCAGCCCCCTTATTCTCCTTGTAAACCACGCTGAGTTCATTTAATAAAATCGACTCTCTCTCCTCCTATTTACTCTGACTTCTCTCTAGTTATTCCCGCAATAACCCCTCGGATAAGATACCCCCCGGGTAGATTGTCCATCATTTGGTGCTCTCGTTGAGAGGTCTGAACAATCAAGTAAGAAACCCTCCCCTTCACCAAACAAAAAACACCTACCAAAGTGGGAAGAACACATCAAGTGAGTCCCTCCCGATTCACTATCCGAGTGGGAGGACGTATCTCCCGTCCAAAGTTCCCTCGGCCAAGTTGGAACTCCTTGGTCAGAGCTTGGGTTCCTCACTTCCCTCTTGAGAGGCCCCCAATTGTATCCAAGGTGGCGGCTGCTCCAGAAACTCCCAAATTTGAGACCCACCCATCCAGTCAAAAGCTCTCGGCGGCCCTCGGCGATGCCACTTGGTGCCCTTCGGCGGCACGACGCGACGCCCTTCGGCGGTACCCCTCGGCCATCGGCGTAAGGCCCCCATCACCATCCCATGAGCACATTGCAACCCTAAACTCTTAGCTAAGGTCAAGTTCAAGGAAGGAGGGACCCTTCGGCCAGATGAATTCCTCCTATCTACAGGCCCCAAACAGCGGTTATACTCTATTACTGTCGCCACTCGTGATTTATTAATATATATATGTATATATAACACCTTAAGAAAATTTTTCAAAATAGCCTCTTTACCCTAAGCCCAAGGCTTTAGAATTAATCAAGCTTCTCCCGGCCCAAGGCCGAGGGGCGAATATATCGCCTCTTAATAAAAACAATTCTTTCTCCTTCGCCACCATCCCAACCTAGCCCTCCGCGTCAGGCGCCGAGGCCGAGGGGCGAGTATATCGCCGGCTTCACCAAGTGTTGTAGCCATGAGGACCTGAGAGCCTCATGCAAGCTGTTCCCTTGAGGATGCCCTCATGCATGATTGTACATACACATAAAAAACTGAGGGGACAATACCCCTCGGCTCCGGCAGATACCAAGTGCCCTCGGCCATTTGTGTTTCACAAAATAAAACCCTTCCTTGAAACGCTTTCCGCGCCATTCCCCAAGGGAGTGGCAGGCAACGGACTATGTCCCGGGCCGAGGAAACGACTCTCAAACCCCTCGGGGTTCGGAAGGACAACCCCCACCAATATATTTGATCACCGGCCCAAGGCCCCCTCTTTCTCCAAAGAGCATATGAGCGGCCAAGCCCTCATCACTCACCGATCAAACGGCCCAAGGTCTCATTCTTCTTATGAGGATGGATTAAGGGCCAAGCCCTCATCCCCTTACCAAAATGTTGACTCACAGGCCAAAGGCCCCATCTTTTTCCAAGAGAACGTATGAGCGGCCAAGCCCTCTTCATTCACCAACATGGGTGATTTACGGCCCAAGGCCCCTCCTCTCCGCGAGGATGACTCAATGTACCAAGTACAAGGTGCGCCAATACGCCCACCATTCTTGAAAAACACCAAGTGTTTTTCAATAAGCCGTTCCCCTCGAGGACGCCCCCATGCATATTTCATGCATACTCATACATACATACATACATACATACATGAAAAAAACAAAAAAACAACCGGGGGGTACAATACCCTTCGGCTCCGGCTGGTACCAAGTGCCCCCGGCTATTTGTGTTCTACACACAAATAAAACCCTTCCCAGAAACGCTTTCCGCGCCATCCCCCAAGGGGAGGCAGGCAACGGACCATGTCCCGGGCCCAGGATTCGACTTTCACAAACGAAACGCTCCCCGCGCTATCCCCCAAGGGGAAGCAGGCAACAGACCATGTCTCGGGCTGAGGGGACGACTTTCAAAACCGAGGCGCTTTCCGCGCTATCCCCCAAGGGGAAGCAGGCAACAGACGATGTCTCGGGCCGAGGAAACGACCCTCAAACCCTTCGGGATATCGGAAGGTCATTCCCGAAGGGGGAGCCAACGGTTTGCTCCGTTGCCTCCCATATAGGCCAAGCCTTTCCTTGAAACCAAGTTTCTTGATGCCCCTCCTACAACATGCAAAAAAAAAAAAAAAAAAAAGAAAAAAAAAGAAAGAAAAAGATGTGTAGGGGGGAAGGAACTCCCCGGATACTTTTCTCCCCGGAGGCTCAACAACAATCCAGAGATACATTCCCGAAGGCTATTTCTAAAGATGCAAGGGAATCTCTAAATACGAAGTCATTGGACTACATGTCCGAATGCTCTACTACATGAAGGTTCCACTGCAAGGAAGAAGGCTCACCAGCAGACTTCACCAAAATTTGGCTAAGTCCACAACTACAAGCCCTCGGCATTACCTCTCCCAGGAGCCTTCAGCCTCAAGGAAGGCACAAGAGTCTTGAACCCTCATGTCGCACGGAAGCTTTCAGTCATGAGCCTTCAGCGTGTGGCCTTCATGCCACCGCCCTCATGACTAGCGCTTGGCCTTCATGTCAGCGCCTTCATCCTCGGGTTTCAACCCGCAGACGGAAGCTTTCAGTCATGAGCCCTCAGCGCATGGCCTTCATGCCATCGCCCTCATGACCAGCGTCTGGCCATCATGCCAGCTCCTTCATCATAGGGTTCCAACATTCGTACGGAAGCCCTTGGTCATGAGCCCTCAGTGCGTGGCCTTCATGCCACCGCCCTCATGACCAGCGCCTGGCCCTCATGCAAGCGCTTTCATCATCAGGTTCCAACCTTCATATGGAAGCCTTTGGTCATGAGCCCTCAGCGCATGGACTTCATGCCATCGCCC